GGGGGGGGGGGGGGGGGGGGGGGGGGGGGGGGGGGGGGGGGGGGGGGGGGGGGGGGGGGGGGGGGGGGGGGGGGGGGGGGGGGGGGGGGGGGGGGGGGGGGGGGGGGGGGGGGGGGGGGGGGGGGGGGGGGGGGGGGGGGGGGGGGGGGGGGGGGGGTGGGTCTCACGCTTCAGCTAGTTTCAGACTAACCTGCAGAGCTTGTTGAAGCTCAATGCCGGGCCCATCCCCAGAATTTCTGATTTGGTCGGTTTGCGGTGGGAGAAGGAATCTGTACTCTAACAAGAGCTCAGGTGATGTCACAGCTGCTGGTGGGGTACCACGCTTTGAGAACCACTGTTCTAAGGTGCTCCTTGTGTGGAAGAAGCAGGTGGGGCCGGCATTCCTCTCTCACCTGCTTCCCTCCTCCTGGTGCCCAGGAGGCAGGGAGCACTGAGAGGGAGGAAGGGGGAAGAAGAGGGAAGCTGGGCCTATGAAGTGGAGGGAGCAAGACTTTGATGGTTGAGGGGAGGGAGCAGGGTCGAGGAAGAAGTATTGAGGGATGGAGGAGAATGAAGGTGCTGAGGTGTGGGTGAGTGTGGGGCTGAGGAAGGGTGGGCTGAGGTTTCTGACTGGCCCAGGTATTGCTGGCCTCATCCAGCTGCTTGCCTGGCTGAGCCATCAGCTCCCTGACATTCCAGGAAAATGATGAGAGAGACCTGTGAGGGGAGAGGTCCAGAAATCTCTCCCTCCAGCCTAGGCCTCCATGGAGGCCTCTCATTGTGGAGCTCACTGCCTCCTGGCTGAGGTCCCATGAAGGAATGTCTCTGCCTCTGTCCTGGCTGACCAGGGCTGTGGCTCCTGGAACACGGGCACTCACGCGAGGAGAGAGTGAAAAAGTCATTGCTCTTCGGGGGTTGTCACATCTTACCTGTTAGATTCCCAGAAGGCCCCTGGAATTGCCTGTGACTTTAGAGTTCTGGGAACATCAGTCCTGGGTCCTTAAGCAGAGAGGTGTGCACAGGCCTGCAAGTTTAGAGGTTTGAGGTGGAGTTTTAGTTCTCTTTAGTGGCCTCAGTTCTCTCCTCTGTAGAATGAAGGTGGTCTGGTTGATCTACATGACCCTCCCCAGCCCCCATATTCCCACCTCAGTTCAAACACTTTGTTTCCCGTATTCTCTGTGTCCCCAAGCTTGGGTCCCAAAGTAGACATCCAGTGGGAGGGTCTCCTTTCCCATCAACTTCGGGCTCCGAGCTCCCTGACCCTGCCAGACAGGTTCCATCAAGGTTTCAAAGGTCATAATCAGTCTCGTTTGGAAATGGGACTGTCTGCATAGAGCCTGGGAGAACAGAAGGCTTGTGGGCCTAATATTGAATTAGAGCAATCTTGAAATCGGTGCATGCATGTTTCATTCCTGGAGATAACCTCTGGTTAATGTTTATTCTTGAGAATAATTGTATCGTGACTATCAAGCAGAGAAACACAGGCTTTTGTATTGATTGACACTAGAAGAGTTGAGGGGTGAAATCTCGTTTTAAAGTAGACAATTCTTGAAACCAGGCTGTTTTCCAATTTAAAGCTATTCCTAACTGTCTTCAAGGGGCTTGGATTCTGAATCTAGACATGTCCTTCTGAATGGAGAGGGCGTTACATGGAGAAAGCACAGCATGCTCAGGACACAGGCTGGCAGTAACTGTTTTCTAAAGTGCCCCATTGCAGATTGCCAATGAATATTTACAAATTCTTCCTACAATCCAGGCATTTTTCATTTGTTTGCCTTTTGGCTATTTCATGTTGAAGCAGCATGTATGACCTTTACAGCACAACTCCTGTCTTGTTTTTAACTCTTTTTATCAGGAGATTCAACTCGAAAACGGTTATCATTTAGCAGAAAGACAAACAGAAAAGCACATTTTTGTAAGCAAAACGTTAATGATTGGAAGAATTGCCCTAATTTCACCATGACAGTGTGTGATTAATCCCTTGGGTCGTGTACTTATACTTTCAGTTATTCAGTTGGTTGGTCTTTGATATTCAGAACCCTTTCTAACTTAATAGGATATTGATTTTGCTGGATGATGTACTTTGACTCTTTAAACAATGTCACTTTTAGAGATGACTGGGCTGCTGTGTAGTATTTTATTTAGAGAACTATTGCATAAGGTTTCTTTTTCTTACTTTTTATAGTTTTCTCAGGGTGAAAGCTGATAAGACATCTTGTGGGAAAAGAGGAAACCATCTCCGATAGTGAAAGTACCTACTCTCTTTCAACATTTCTGACAAACTTTTTTTTTTGTGGTTTCATTGCTGTGAATATTCATTTTAGTTAACGGGGGCAGGGCAGGGATTCAAGAAAATATATTTGGGGGGGCCGGCCCCCGTGGCCGAGTGGTTAAGTTTGGGCACTCTGCTTCAGCGGCCCAGGGTTTCGCCGGTTCGAATCCTGGGCGTGGACACGGCACTGCTCATCAAGCTATGCTGAGGCAGCGTCCCACATGCCACAACTAGAAGGACCCACAACTAAAAATACACAACTATGTACCGGGGGGCTTTGGGAGAAAAAGGAAAAATAAAATCTTTAAAAAAATATATATATATATTCGGACTTGAAGGAAATGCACGTTGCTGGAGACAGGCGGCACCTACTAAAATTCCCGTTTCAGTTATACTGCCTCGTGGAACATGACAAACGCAGAAGCTCACCCTTCTGATTTTTCTTCAAAATCTAATCATCAATGATGCTTTAAATCTGTGTTTGGCAGTGATATTTATGTGACTACTGACGACAAGAGAAGGTGGAAAACTAAACAGTCACTCAGGATGCTTCTAAATGGTTAGAGTTTATCTTGCAGTAAAAATAATCAGATGTTGTACTGACATTTACTTTTCATCCCGTTTGGGTTTCATGAAATTCCAGCTGGACTCTGTATTTGTGTAATCTCATTTTGCCCCTGGATACATTTTTGGCTATTGTTGTTGAATGGAAATGAGAAGCACTTTGGGGATTTCTTCCACTCACCAAAGTATCTGAGATCCAAGGTCTGCAGAACAGCAGCTACCCCTTCAGATGTGGCTGAACCCTTTCTCAGGAATGACACCCTTGTGGATAAAAGCGGGGCTGGAAGTCAGGCAGGTGACTCCCCTACACCTCCCTTGCCGGTTGGGGGCCTTGGGAAACATGAATTCTCAGCCTCAGTTCCTAAAGAGGTGGGTGGTTCACCTGAGAGGAGGCATCAATACCTGGCACACAACAGGCGCCAAGGGTTAGCTAGAAAAGCTGGAAAGCCCCCACGGATTCCCTCCTTTTGAGGCAGCTCTTTGATTCGCAGTTGCAGGCGGGAAACCTCTTCAGTCGGATGTACACAAACCTCCCCAGACAATAGAGACGGCTGCGGGGAGGAGACCTTGGAGCTGGCGAAGGCATTTCCTGTCTGCGGAGGATCTTGACTTTGGAGCATCCGGCGGTCGCCGCGAGGTTTTCGAGGCCGCAGAAGACTTTCTCGTGTAGCTGCTTAAAAAAAAAAAAAAAAAAAAAAAAAAGTCGTTGCTAGTTTCAAGCGATTTTTAGATGCAAGCCAATGAGACAATTTCTCACTTAAATAAAGAAAAACTTTTAAAGCATATTTTCTAACCATTAGAATTTTTTCTAATTTGGATGGGGAGTTTGATATTATTCAAAATCTTAAATATTCGAAAATCTCGTCACTCTCCAAAGACTACCACAGGAAAGGATTAACTGTCACCCCATCTCCCCCCCCCCCGCCCCCCCCGCCCCCCGTAGATACTTGCAGGAAGGGAAGTGCCTAATGAGTTAGTGTCTATTACACTTGTGTATGTTTTTCTTTTAGAATTTAATTATGCCCTTCATCCTTCCTTGCCTCTCCACTTCTTTTTATTCATTCCCTTTCTCCTTTCCCCCCTCCTTCTCAGGGTTCCTCTTCCTCGTTCAGTTTATTTCCCCTTTAAGAGTAGAAAATGACCAATCCTTATTCTTTAGATGTCACAATGCGGGCCAAGATTTTCTTCAAATATAGAGAAATTTTCAGCTTTCAGGTGGAAATCCTGTTTGAGGGAGATGTTGCTCCAGTCCTAATACACTGCGCCCATCCCTCCAAGGACGCTTCTTTAGTTCTGCTTTTTTTTTTTTGGACCAGGCTAAGCAATAATCGTGATAATGATAATAGAGGAGTAATAATACTTGTTTCCCCAGGGGGCACGCACTTGTTGCACTGGGGTGTAGTGGGGCTGACCAAGAGATGCTGCAAAGAGGATGCCATGGCAGAACTTTCCAGCGGCTCCCAATGCAGAGAAAAGGAAATGAAATGCTGTTCCAGGGAGAGAGATGATGGTGTTCACAGACCTGGGAGTGAAAGCGGGCAGGGACTACGGATGACTAGACTCTTCAGAGGTTTTTGGGTTCCAGCATTTTGGAGAAGGGATTATGGGCGATCCTCTCTCCCTCCAGTCATGCAGAGCTCTCTGCGTTGGTGTCTGCTGTTTCCTCTACCTGGCACTCTCGTCCCGTCCCCTTGGCTGGCTCCCTCACCTCCCGCAGGCTTGGCCTTCCCTAGCCATCCCACTTAAAATCCCAACCCTCTCT